AGGGCGAAGATAAGCAGGGTACCCAGGAGGAGAGGGGATTGCCAGAAAGGCTATGCAGTGAATATTGGGTGTTCGCAGTGTGATGAGAACTATCCGATGCGTGATGCTGAGGTGGAACGGTGGTGCAATGCTGGTTGTGCCGAAGCAGCGATTGGTCATCACAATCAACATCGGGTCATTTAGTGAAAATATCTGTGGTTGGGGGCAGCTATTTTGAGGTACGTTGCACCTAACCTTATCTACCCTTTTCGACACTTCTTACCGTGAGGATGCGTGTTCTGTCTTGAGAGTCCTTTCATGTGAGGAGTCGTGTGCGCTCAACCTTGAGAGTCGCCAGTCTTCACGTGGACCATATGGAAGGAGAGGGCGGTGGTATCTGAAAGGCCCTAGACGAAGCACTGGGTCACAATCACCATGCCAACCCATCGGGTGTAGAGCACGCATGCTTTGCTGCTTTGTCCTTTGTCTGCTCGTTGTGCTGTAGAGGGGTTCTGAGGGGCAGGCCAACCCTATGGGACAGACGAGACCGGGCGTGTATAAATAAGCACTGGTGGGGTACCTTCCATTGGCTGTGATTGTCGTTTTGTTTGCGACGTTAAATAATTCCTGAGGACTTCGGGGGCCGTCCATAAAAACGCCTCCTGATCAGCCAATTGGTTGGTGTAAGGCTCGGTGCACGCGAGGATAAAGACTGTGCAGGGCTGGCCAGCTCAGTAGAACTCGGGGTATAGGGGTGGGCCGTGTGCACACCTTTAGACATGCACGCTGTTCCGGATTGCTCAGGAACGTTGACGACAAGAGACATTCAGGAAGAACTGAGGGAGGGGTAGATTCTAGGTGATAAGTTTGGGAAAGATTCCACTCTGCAAACAAACCCAACAAATGATTCTATGTTTATTTTGATTAGTTGATGTACAACCATTAACATCTGACAGACAACATAGTTAGAATTGTTATCTGTTCATTGTGCTTTCTGTTTGCGGATTAGTCAAAGTAAAATAGTTTTCACTTGTAGGAATCTGAACTTACTTGTTGGACTCAAATGTATCTACTTTGACGCAACCATCGATTAATGCAATCGGTCGGTGCACTACGCTGCGGTAGGCATCAAAGAGTGACCTAGTGCAGATTGTGTACAACTCTGTAGCTTATGAGCGATAGGGATACCACTAGTGAGGACGACCGGATCTTGCGATCGGCTAGACGCTCGATTGCCCACGTGGCATTAGGACCTGAGGGTGATAGGTTACTGTTCCGCCAGCTTAGGGAGAGACAGGAGCAACAACGGAGAGCTAGGATAACAAAGGCCAGCAGGGCATTCGCAAGTGAAGCTGCTTCAACAACCATGGCAACCGCTGCGCAACACAGTTCCCAGGCTAGTAGTTCAGGGGCCGTAGGGTCAACGGTCGTGCAGACCCTGAGTCATTCAACTGGCGTCATGGCAAGCCAGCCTATAGTGTTGACTTCTGATGAGATCGCCATACAACAGGCAGCACTACAGGAGGTACAACTACAGAGGGGTTTAGGAGAGATAAAAGTGGAGAAGGAAAAAATGATTAGAAGAAGAGCCAGGATGCAGCGGAGAGAAGCGAACATTAGTGAGTTAGAGAGGATGGATCTGACGCACATGGATGCAGATGTGAGGACGTTGCGGACAACCCTGTTAGGTGTTGTAGAGATGCAGGACCACCACACGACTCTCCTTCAGGACATCCAGCAGAGTCTGGCCTTGCTGGTCAGGGGAGCGCAGGCAGCACCATCGCTGTCCGGGCTCGGTGCCTGACCCGTTGTACAACCTCCTTTTTATCTCCCACTGGTGACTCGGGTATCCCCATATGTCTCTCCAACATCGGTCCAAACCGTTTCCCTGGGTATGCTGTTTGCAGGAGGGTTCTCAACAGGTCCTAGTGTACAGGTTCTTGTACAGACAGTGTTCTCCCAACCTCCGTCGCAGGTTGCTGTAAGCGGGCAGCCTGCACAACCGCAGGGTACACAGCCCCAACAACAGATAGTGCAACAGCTTGCTCATCCGGGTCCACACCTTGGAATGATGCAGGTACCGGGATAAAGTCAGTGGGTTCCGAAGACGGCCATCGACGCTCCTAAACCCTTCAAAGGGGACAAGGGGGGCGAAGACCTCGACACATGGTGGAGGTCAGTGCCAGTATACGTTAAGTGCAAACTTACCTTGCCGCATGAGGAAGTGCTTGTGGCTGCCTCCTATCTAGAGGGGAGTGCAACAAGATGGTTGAGTGGTTTAGTGCAGTTGCAGGGATACGGTCATGACTTCCGCGCTTGGGCGGTCACCCAGAAACTGGATGACTTCCTCAAGTTGGTGGAAGACATGTGGCATGATCCTCAGGAGGCCCAAAAAACCACTGATGCGATCCTGATTCTGAATACTAGGCAGTTTAAGTCAGAAAGGGAGGCCACAAATGCAGTAGAGCGTTTAATCTGTGTCCCTGGGTGCGCTATGACCCCCAGGTCTTACTCACCTCCTACCTGAGATGATTTCCTATGCCTCTCAGGAATCAGTTGGCAGGTGAGGCCAACATCAACATGCACAACTTTCCCTCGTTTAGCAAGAAGGCCCTAGACCTTGAAGCAAAGATAGGGCATGGTTAAACGCCCACGACGGATGGTAGGAAAAAGACACTGCCTCCTAACTGCAAAGCGAAGGGACGCATAGTGTTCGTCGACAACGATGAATCCGCCATCCAGTTGGATGACGAGTTCCAGGCGGGAGTGGGTTCAGAGTCAAGCAGCGTAGAAGCCTCAGGGGGTGGAGTAGTTGTTGCCGTAACTCAGAAAGGTAAGGTAATCGGTAGACGCCGTGGAGGTTCTCGGTCTATGAGTCAAGTCGACCGCAATGCTCCTCCATGGGAGAAAGCGGGTTTCAGTGAGGACGTGTGGAGAGATCGGTATACGCGGCAGGCTTGTATCCGTTGTGGCCAATATGGTCATAACCAGTTCAAGTGCCGAAATAAGAAGGTGACCGAGAAGATCCCGCCTACGATGGGGCGGGCGTTGGGATCCTCTGCTCCCGTTGGTAGCAATGTTGCCTGCAGTTCTGGCACCGCTTCAGGAAACGCGTTGGGCCAGTAGGAATAGTAGGTGTTCCTGCTAGGGTCGACGTGGTGGACGCACCCTCACCATCTCGAGAGATGGCCCAAGCTATTGACTCCGTCGTCGTCCCGCAAACACATTCAGACCCATCAAGCCTCTGTTCGATGAATGTGTGTGAGTCTTTAGAGGAGCTAGAGGAGGAGTGGTCTAGATCAGACCCACTAACTTCTTGGACGACATTGGCTAAAGCCCCTAAGGGTGAGATGTTCGTCAGCGAGGTAGTAATAGGTGGCTGCAAGGCCGGGGCCTGTTATGATACTTACTCGACACGAAACTTCACTAGTCGTGCGTTCATTGAGAGGCTGCGCTTACAGGGGCAAGTGTTGTGCCTGAGTCGACCTGTGGAGTCGACCTGTGCCAACAAACAGCGCATGGTAGTCAACGACTACCTTTAGGACATTCAGTGTCTCTTTCCTTACGCGGGAGGGGAACTGAGATATCGCGTCTCGTTCCTAGTGAGCGATGATCTCCCTATGGATATCTTGTTAGGTATGTACTTCCTCTCCGTTGCACAGCCCCAGTTTGACTGGGACCGAAAAGTGGTTAAACACACTTTGCCAGGTGGGGGGACCGCCAGATTACATAAGTTTCAGGCTAGTAGTCTGATTGAGTCCTATGGATGCATGTGTGCAACTGCGTTCTATAACTATGATAAGCAAAATCTGGAGGAGGGTATGTATCTAGTTTATGTCTCTGCAGCAGGCGAGCCGGTGAAAATGCCGTTGGAGATAGAGGGAGTAGTTGCTAAGTACCCTGCTCTATTTGAAGATCCAACAGGGGTTGTCGAGAGGGAGGTCGTCCACGCGATAGAGATTATCCCAGAGTCTAGCATCCCGAAGGGTAGGATCTATCGGATGTCTCCAGGCGAGTTTGACGAGCTTCGCCGACAGCTCAAGGAAGTCGTAGAGAATGGTTGGATCCGGGCGAGTGTCTCCCCTTGTGCCAAAGAAGGGGGTACGCTGAGTACGTGCATTGGCAATGCCATCACTGTCAAGAATCGAGAGCCCCTACCGTGCATCGACGATTTGCTAGATAGAGTGCAAGGGTGCCGGTACTTCTGTAAGATAGATCCGAAGTCCGGGTACCATCAGATTGCAATATGGCCCGAGGATCAGCACAAAACTGCTTTTTAGACCAGGTACGGTCTGTATGAGTTTGTGGTCATGCGTTTTGGCCTTTGCAATGCTCCTGGCACCTTTCAGCATGCTATGAAGCGGATCTTTCATGACTACTTGGATAAGTTTGTCATCGTGTACCTCGATGACATACTCATTTTTAGTAGGACTGTCGAGGGGCATGTTGCTCAGTCTCCTCGATGACTACTTGGAAAGTCCTCAGTCTCCTCCGGCAACACAAGTTCAAGATCAACGGGGGAAAATGTGAGTTTGGTCGCACCCGGATCGTGTACTTGGGTCATGAGATTCCCCGGAGGGTTTGAAGCCCGATGACACGAAGGTGGCCAACATTCGTGACTGACCGCGTCCTCAGTCTGTGACTGAGATGAGGTTTTTCTTAGGGATGACCGGCTACTACCGCAACTTTGTTAAAAACTATGGCAGAGTGGCCGCTCCTTTGACTGACTTGACCCGCCTTGACACCCCACGGGAGTGGACAGACAGGTGCGAGGCTGCTTTCAGACATGTGAAGCACGTGTTGACGCATCATGAGGTCTTGAAACTTCCTGATCCTTTTTTTTTTTAATGACAAGCCGTTCATAGTAACCACGGATGCCAATCAGTATAGCATTGGTGTCGTGCTAGCGCAGCAGGAGGGGCCAAAGTTGAGGCCAGGGGAGTACATGTCCCAAAAGATGCCCTCTTAGAAGTTGGCCGAGTTCACCTATGGGAAGGAGCTGTACGCGATCTATAAAGCGCTAACCCATTGGAGGCACTATCTCCTTGGGAGGTTCTTCATCGTCAGGACTGATCATCAAACCCTAAAGTGGATGAGGACTCAGCCTGTGCTCTCCTATGCGCTGAAACGCTGGATCGAAGTCATTGAGCAGTATGACTTCGAGCCACAATACCTCAAACGTGAGTGCAACAAAGTTGTTGACGAGCTGTCGTGTAGGCCAGACTTCTCCGGTGCGCTGATCATTGAGTTTGAGCGTGCAGACGATGCCACTCGCTCTTTGGTGGAAGCCTATCGCGAGGACCAGTTCATGTTCGAGATAATACGCAGACTCGAGGCGAAGGACAAGGTGACTTCTGTCGAGTTTGAGTTGGTCAGCGGCTTGCTGTTCATTGAGAAGACCGGAAATAAACGTTTGTGTGTTCCTACTAGAGAGTCGTTGCGTAGTTTATTTTTAGGTGAGAGTCACGATGCCACGGGACATTTTGGTTTCAAGAAGACTGCAACCAATCTGTTGCAGCGGTTCTGGTGGCCCACGATGATGAGAGATGCCAAGTTCTATGTCAAGACTTGTCAAGTTTATCAACGTGACAAGCCCCGGACACAAGCTCCTCTTGGGCTGCTCAAGCCCCTTCCCATTCCGGAAAGGCCTGGTGAAAGCCTGTCCATGGACTTCATGGATATGCTAATCACCAACAAGAGTGGCATGAGGTACATCTACGTCATCGTGGATAGATTTAGCAAGTACGCTAGGTTAGTGGCCATGCCGGAAACAACAAAGACCGAGTACGTTATCAAGCTATTTAACGAAAACTGGGTCAGAGATTTTGGCCTGCCGAAGTCTATAATCAACGACAGGGATGTCCAATGCACCAGTGAACTGTGGAAGGCCGCAGCTGCCGAACAAGGAACGCAACTGCAGATGACATCTGGAAATCATCTAAAGGCAAACGGACAGGCAGAGCAAATGAACCGCGCTGTTCAACACTTGCTAAGGAACTACATTAAGCCTAATCAAGTGGACTGTGATGAGAAGCTTGCTCTCATCGCCAACCTATACAACAACACAGTTCATAGTGCCACGGGAGTAAGTCCTAACAACCTACTTCTAACGTTCAAACCTAGACTCCCCCTTGACTTTCTGCTACCTGAGAACCAGCCTACTGCTGCTCCAGGCACTTTGGAATTCGCTTATAGATATGAGAGTCATATGCAGTGGGCAGTAGAACATATGCACAAAGCACAGGTGGCGATGATCAAATCTGAGAACAAGCACCGCCACCCATCTATGTTTCAGGTAGGGGACAGGGTCTGGGTCAAGGCTTCAAAACTGGGGTAGGAGCACGGGATTTCCCGTAAGCGCATGCCACAATACTTTGGACCATGGGAGGTTTTGGATGTAGTTGGGGATGAACCAGACAGACCCTCATATGTCATTCGGATCCCTGGACACCTTTGCACTTACCCTGTTTTTCATGCCTCTAAGCTTGCACCATTCAAGGAAACTGACCAGTTCCCTTCGCGACGCTGAATGCGAAGGTTGTGAGTGATACGAAAGACATACATGGTGCTTGAAGCATGCGGCATTGGCCGAGATCTGCTCGTACTTCGGGGAGTTGTTGACGTCATCGACGACATTGTAGATTAGGCTAGATAAGATCTGCCATCTGTAGTCTGGGCGTCGAGCGCTAGATAGGATATCGACATTGGTTCTTCGTTGATGATGATGAGACTATTGCAACATTGTCAATTATGAGCTTTTGCTGTACTCTTATTTGGTGGAACTCGTGTTGCAATTTTGCTATTGGTTCGAGGTCACGACTATCTGGTCTCATGTGTATGATGCTGTTTGATTTTTGAAGTCCGCTATTGCACATCTTCCTTGCACCTTGCTACTTGGAACGACTTTAATTGCGCAGACAATTTCCCTCTCGACTACGGCCCTAGGCTCCTAAAAAAGGTATGGATATTGAGAGACAATTGCTTCTATCTCTAGGGGTGTTTTACAGCCTCCCCTTTCTTATAGACAAAGACTAGATACATATCCTCCTCAAAATTCTGCTTGTAATAACTATAGAAAGTTGAGGTGCACAAACAACCATAAGACTCATCTACCCTGCTTGCTTTGTACTTCTGCAGTTTAACGGTCCTCCCATTTGGCAACTTGTACATCATCACCTTCCTATCCTAGTCAAACTGAGGCTTAGCAACCTCAAGGTAGTACATACCTAGCAACATATCGAAAGGCAGCTCATCACTAACCAAAAACGAGATCTTGTGTCTCAGTTTCCCTCCTCCATAGGAGAAGGTGCAAACTACGTCCTTCACATAGTCCTGGACTACCATGGAGTGGTTGTTGGCAAAGGTATGTGCTACAAACCTGCTAAGCCGCTGCACTTGGTCCCCTAAGCGCAACCTATCCACACAAGCACAACTTGTGAAATTTCGCGTAGAACCTATGTTTGTGAAGGTTCCGACCTTTCGGTCACCTACACCGATAATATCGTCCAGGAGTTTCTAGGGTCCTTCTCTAACCACTCAGTCTCTGACCACTCAGTTTCTAACTCCTCAAAGGAATCGAGACACATCCATCAAATAGAGTATCGATTGGTCCGCATTTGCCTGCACAGAGATATTGGGGTCAATAGCCTCCGCCATCGTGTGAAGTGGAGAGAGTAAGGTAACCACGTTAGCCCGAGTAAGATCAACTAATACTCCTATTGACCCGATGTGTTTCCCTGGGAAGTGCTCATAGATGCACCACCCGAGGTAGAAGGTCCTACAACCAGTATATAGAATGCTACCTTCACCGTGACTCGCTTACTCTTGCAGCGGGGCATAGTATGCCCTCCACAATAGAGACACGTGCCTTAAGCAACACGGTCATGCCACACACCGTACTCTAATCCAAGTTTCACCCACATGGGTGGAGCTTGTTCCACTTGACCCTTGGGCCGATTGCCCTTTCGTTTCCCGACCCCCTTAGCCTTTTCTCTAATGGGAGCAGCTACTCCACCCTCTGAAGTCTCTGTGCCCCCATCTTCCTCTGTCTCTTCACCAAGACCAGAGAAGTCCTCAATCTCAATGGTGCTGCCATCATGGCCAACAAACATGAGATTGCCCTTCTTCTTCCAATCCTGGGGGAATTTCTTCTTCCCCTTCTCCATTAGTGTCTGTTGTGCATTCTCGAGGCTGGCATTTATCTCTAACACGTGTTTGCTAAATGAAGCGAAGTCATGTACCTCTATGGAGGCGTCATCAACCAACTTATTCTTAACGTCTGTAGGGAGACATTGCAGATAAGTGGTCATGAGGACCTGTGGATCGTACCGCATGCTTGGGACATCGATCAAGCGCTCTGCGGTGTCTGTTGGCTTGTGGACTGACGTTACTTCCTAGATGCTAGGCCTGCCAGCGAGTCGGTAGACATTTAAGCTCCTTGAGGGTCATGCCACCTATTGTTGACTACCCGTACGAACTCCTCCAAAGTTCGGGCTTGTGCCCAACCACCGACGTCTTGACCAAACCGTGCTGTTGTACCAACCCGTCTAACCATCTAGTTGTTGATCCTTTTAGAAAGAACGCAGCGACAATGACTTCTTCCTTGGGCCTTGTGAGCTTGTGTCTCACATAAGTGGGCACGGTCCTAACCCAAGTATTAAGGTCCTCCTCCTTTTTGTTATCCCCTGAAAAAGGTTTAGGAGTTAACAGTGGTATCTTGAGCATCCATTGCATTGGTTGCCCAGAACCTTGTGCCTGCTGCAGGTTGGGACACGAGTGGGACATGTTGCTGTGGCGGCGGCTGCACCTACTGCTGCTATAGTACGAATTGCGCAGGCTGCTGGACATAACCACATGTTGTCGGAGGTTTCATACACACAAATTTAAATTCCATCGAATACCCCTTCCTCATGGGGATGGAGCCACCTTGGCTGTTCTTGTCAGGCAAAAAGTCTTATATGAAGTGCGCGCCCAATGCGTAAGAGAGAGAGAGAGAGAGAGAGAGAGAGAGAGAGAGAGAGAGAGAGAGAGAGAGTGCTCTCTCTCTATCACTCTTCCCCCTCTCTTCCTTGCCATCTGTCCCTCTCTCCCTCTCTCTCCCTCCCCTCCCCTCCCCTTCTCTTTTCTATCTAAGACATTTTCTTTGCCATTTGTCCCCCTCTCCCTCTCTGTCTCTACCTCCCTCCCCCTCCCTTCTCTCTCTCTAACACATTTTCTGTAACGAATTCCCTCTATCTAACACATTCTCTCTCTCTCTCTCTCTCTCTCTCTCTCTCTCTCTCTCTCTCTCTCTCTCTCTCTCTCCTCGCTCCCTCCCTCCCTCTCTCTCTCTCTCTGTCCCTCTCTCTCTCTCTCTACCTTCCTCCACCTCCCTATCTCTTTAACACATTCTTGTCTATTTGTCTCTGTCTCCCTCTCTCTTGCTCTCCCTACTCTTTGCTCCACTCTCCTGGTACTTTCTACTCTCTACTCCATTATGTTCTCTACTCTCTACTCTGCTCTATTCTCTGCACTCTACACTACTGTACTAATTCAACTCCCAATCAACATGCAATTACACACCATGCGCAATAGAACATTCATGTGAGAAGTCACACTGGACACCGAGTAATGAAAACCAAACTTGGTCACTGAAAACCACACCGAATTATTGTATTATACAAATAAATTGTATCCTCCAACGACACCTGCAGCACACAAACCAAGTAGGTATGTAACTCCTCTCCCCTATCCCTGATGTGTTACTCTCCCTCTCCCTCTCATGTCTTGTATCGCTCAAACTCCCTGTCACGCTCATGCTCTCCCTCTCCCTAATGGATCCACCTTGAATGCATCTGCAATGTACTCCTCCGAACCTTTGTGGCTATGGCCGTCCTCTTCCTCCTCCCTAACTATGGTAACTAGGCGTCTCCTTCCTCACTGGGCACTGGTTTCTCCTCTACCGCTTTCGCAATTTGCGCATGAAAAGTTGATCCCGCTGGCTGATGATACTGGGCGTTTATACTTGCTGATCCGCCTTCCAGACATCTTTTGTTGGTTATCGGTTGGCCCTCTTGCCTTTGTTCCCTGCTTCTGGAAGCTCACATACTTTCGTGGGTTGGCTGCTTGCGTGGATCGACTGACACCTGGCCTAATGACTCTGGTGATCTTGGCTGAAGTTGTGGTGCCTCCTAAAGACAGACTCTTCAACCCATACGTTTTTTTTTAAGGGACCTCGTATCACAATCTACTTAACTAGCTCGCCTAGCCCTTTGCAGTCATGGTATAAATGAAAACTACTCTTATAGAGTATTTGTGCACATCTTACAAGTGGCTGGAACCACTAATAGAACACGAAATGGGATTCAGGATTGGAACTTGAGACTCAGGACAGAGACTTGGGACTCGGGACTTGGACTTGGGACTTTGGACTTGATACTTTAGACTAGGACTTGGGACTTGGGACTGGGACCTCGGGTTCTGGTACAATGTGAAATCCTTTCACTTCCTTTTCCCACCTTAGGGACTGGGCAGCCAACACTCGTGCTTGCCTATCTTGACATCGGCCTTGGCGGACTCTCCGCAATCCGTCCCTAACAACATGTCAAAGGGTAGACTATCCTCCACTTGAAGGGTCAGAGAATGCAAAACTTTCTCACTCTTCTTATACTCCCCTTCCAACTGGAGGTATGCCTTTACCCCCTCGACGTATTTATCTACCGACATCTCCCTCTTGTCTCCCGGTTTGCTCACCACCAGCTCCTCCAACTTCTGCACTTTCATTCATAAATGTAGTTTCTTTAATCCTTTCCTCCTGATATATCTAGGCATTGAATCACGGTTGTTGCGTACCGTAATGGTACAGACCAGAACAAGAACCGACCTCTTTCACATAGTACAAGATAGCGCGGGGGAAGGCTAAAATACCAATGATCAGACCAATCAATGTCGCAATGCAGACCAAACATCCGTCATCATCATCACATGGTGTGAAGGGGCCTGACGCTCACACGGGAAGAATGCGCCAGTCCCCAACCATACACAAACGAAGAGGAGGGGGATCAAACGAAGAAGAGGGGGAAGATGAGAATGTCGTTAACACCAAGTCTTCGGTACACTTGACCAACTCTTCCCTGGTAAACCATCTTTCTTCGGGTCAGTATGATGTCTGAACCGTACTCGGTACTTCCTTACAGGTTTAGGCGGTCTGCCCCTGCCAGTTGGCTTGAGAGCAGGCGTGTCTCTGTGCTCCAGGATATCGTCAACGTCCACGTGGCCATCCATGCTTGGGGGCAACATAAATCTCCTTGATGGGAATTCTTCTGTCTCAGCGAAAGGAGCGATCTTTGAGGCATGAAACACAGGATGAGTGCGTAAGTGACCAGGGATACAGATAAAGTATGAGGGGCCATCCATCTTACTACCCACAACATCCAAGACTTCCCAGGGACTGAAGCACTTAGGCATTAGTTTCCTAGGGATGTCGAACCCCTGTCCCAGTTCACTAGCCTTAACCCAGGCACGTTCCCCTACCTGAAATGTGGACTGTCTGCGATGCTTGTTCTCAGAAGCAATCATTGCTTCCTAGACTTCTTGATGTTCTCGACCGCTTGCTGCAACAACTTCTCGTACTGGACATCCAACTCGATGGTTCCAGGAGTTGCAGCAGGTTAGTTTTCAGGAAGGAGGAAGTCTAGTGCAGATCTAGGCTTCCACCCTAGATGCAACTGATTCGGGGTGACCCCGGTGGTGCTGTGTACAACGTTGTTGTACACATTGGCGATGAGAGGCAATTTATCATCCTAGTCATCCTGGTTGGGCTTAATATAATGCCTCAGGAGATGCTGCACCACCCGGTTCATCTGTTCAACCTGCCCATTGGCTTCGGGATGATTCCCATAAGTCATTCGAAGCTGGCTGCCCATTTGTTCAGCGACCTTTTTTCACATCTCGCTTGTGAAATGCACATCTTTATCACTAAGGATCGTCTTTGGTAGTCCAAAGTCACACACCCAGTTGTCCATGAATAACTTCATGACGTGTTCAATCCTGGCGGTCTCCGACATGGCAATTAGTCTAGCAAACTTAGTGAACCTATTAACTATGACGAAGATATGTCTCTTGCCACTCTTGCTGGTCACGAGGGTATCCATGAAGTCCATGGAGATACTCTGTCCCGGACCAGGAGGAATGGGTAGGGGCTTTAGTAACCCAAGCGAAGCTTGAGTACGCGGCTTGTCCCGCTGACAGACCTGACAAGTCTGTACGTATTTCTTTGCATCGTTCAACATGTTAGACCACCGGAATTGCTGTACTAAATTAGCACTAGTCTTCTTATAGCCGAAATGTCTCGTTGTGTCGTGACACTCACCTATAAATAAACTA